ACTTTCTTTCTGTCCTTCTCCTTACTGGCATCTAAGTGAGGGGCCCAGTGCCCAGAACACCACCTCCTGGTACACAGAAGGACCTTGATAAATATTTGTTAAGCGAAAGAATGCATTAGGAAATGAGCTCAAGAGGTTGACTGGTTTGCTCAGACCTCACACACAACTGGTGCCAAGGGTCAGATTGTTGTTTTCGCAGCCTGTTGGGGCTTCTCAGTTTTTAAAAAGTGCCTGTTACCCTTTTTCAGGCAGACAGAGGTGGGATTACTCCCTTGGAGTTCTGCTTACGTGGTGGATGGGGGAGGCTAAACAGCTAGCTGTGCTCAGGGTAGAGAAGTACTCAGCCCTTCTTCCCTTGTCACGCGACTTCCTAAGAATGTCACCCACTGTGAGAATGTCCCTCAAAACCCTACCTACCCCACACTCCCTAGACATCCTGTGCGGTAACGTGAAGTGCTTTCTGTGGCGCTGCATACTGAAAGGACCGCCCAATATAAGTATGACTGTCATACTGTTTCCTTGAGAGACCGAACCCAAGCCCTCCCAGAGTTAGCAGGTTTCATAGTCTCAAGAGCCTTCCAGACAAGATGGTTCCACAATCTTGTTGGATCTGTGCTTGTGCTTGGCAGTGTTGCTAGAGGAGTGTTTTTTTTTTTTAAAACTGTATCCTGTGGTTAAGACTTAAGGCATGTCTTTTCTTCCAGATCCTTCTGGGTCAGCTTTCTCTCTCCCTCCCTTTTTATGCTCATGAGATTTTTTTTCCCCCAAATGAGAAAAAGACAGAGAGGCAGGGAGGGGGAGGGAGGGAGGGAGGTTGGAGGGAGGGAGGGAGAGACAGATAGACAGACACAGACAGAAAATCCCAAAGGAGTCATACTCCTCTCCCCCCTAGAGCTACCTTGTGTATGAATACTTTCCCTTTTTCTAGAGGGTGAAAGGACATAGGAGCCAAGGCAAAGGAAAGATGGAGCCTTAGCAATAACCTCTCAACAGGCTCTTTCCCCCTAGCAGTTTGCAAGGGAGCTGAACAGAGTCCAGAGGACGGGGTTGGTGTACAAACCACAGGCTTCACCGGCCCTGAGGAAGCACATCCCATTCCTGCTCTCTGTATTCCACAACCACGTGGCTCACTGCATGGCTGGGTTGCTGCTTTTAGTGTGGACGGCACCTAGCATGCATTGGGCCCCGTGACCATAACTAAGGAGGACACTGCTGAGCCATCCAATCCTACCAAGCAGAGGGAGAACCTTCTCTTTTTTCTTAGGACAAAACACAATCCCTAACAATCTGTTTTATTATGTAATGGAAGTACTAAGCACAGTAGCTCAACCCCTGATTATTTGCTGACACACATACCGGAGGGTGGTACTTAATGGGAGCCAACTGCCAAATCCTGTAAGTCTTAAGGTCTTTCATTTTGTCTTAGAAATGAAAAAAAGCAAAAGAAATTCAGTTACCTCTTGACTTCTAGAAGGAGACTGTATTTTTATTTCTTGCCCTGCCATCTCAGGTTTGCGTTGAGCACTGCGAGTGACTCTAATTTGTGGTAAGGCTGTTGCCCATCAGCAGTGAGGGTTTGGGAGCAGGACTGCACCACTGAATGATGGCTGGGTTTAATCTACACAGAGGAGGAGTATGAGGGTGGTTATGTGCATTTGGAAGTACCTTTACAAAATTTTACTTTTGAAAATTCTGAGATAGGATCGTGCTAGATTAGAGGTTAGGCTCAAACTTATAAACTGCCTGCCTCAGCCTACAGGATACTGGGCTTGCATGTGGAAGTTTCTTGTTCCAAGGTGGAACTCTCAAGTTGGCTGGTGTCTGTGTGTGAAGGTGCAACACGGATGAACAAGGGTGAGGCAAGCCAGAAGCTGATTTGCATTCTGTGATAAGATTATGGGAGGTTAAGGAGTTCCAAGTTGCTAATGTAATGCTTTTTCTTACATCAGAGGAAATAAATGCCAGTTCCAGGGAGCTACTTTCCAAAGTAGCAGTGTCTGGGATGCTTACTTACCACTTCATTCAAATCCTGTGAAGTCATTTGCTGGGCTGAGTGCAGCCATTATTACTGAGCAGGCGAGGACCGTTCAGCATGTGCACAGCGACCCGAGGAAAACAACGCTCAGCGAGTAGAGCCAGAGCAGGTGCGTGGAGTGGAGGGGAAGGACTCTTCCAAGGAGGCCTCCAGACGATTACAGAACTACAGAGGAGAACGCCACTGGGACTGTTTTGCGGGCCTCACCAAAAAGCTACGAAGGGGCTAGATTCCTAACAACGTGCACTCGTGTTTCCTGAGGAAGAAAAGCTGACCTCCACTTTTAGCAGAAGACTGTGCGAACATGAACAGTCAGAATGCTTGAATGGCTTACAGGATAAAAGTGGCGGAAAACAGGTATTTTACAGGGGTGAAAAGCAAGAAAATCACCATAAAACAAGTTGTCATTTAACATCCATTACATCCAAAAAAGTCAAATACAACCCAAAAAAGTTAAGTACGTGTTAGTGGAATGTCTAGCGTGTGCCTCTTAATTTAAATATGAGCACACCATGGAAGTAAGAAGCAATTAATGGGGACTTGATCTAAAAATAAATATTAAGGTCAGGTCATATACATTTATATCCTGGTTTGCTTTGTATTTTGCTACATCAATATTGCATTTTGATAAATAATTGAAGGACTTTGGAATTTTAGGAGTTCTTTTTCATTTTTATTTATTTTTTTAAAAATGTTTCCTTTCTTTCTTTCTTTCTTTCTTTCTTTCTTTCTTTCTTTCTTTCTTTCTTTCTTTCTTTCTTTCTTTTATGGTCAGCTCAACCCATCCCGGGGGTGGGGCTGGCATGGCATGTGGTGCTGGGGATCGAACCAAGGTCCCTGCATGCTTGCCTAAGCTTGCCTAAGCAGGCACTTTAGACCACTGAGCTATCTTGCCAGCTCATGTTAGGAGTTCTGATGGGTAAACACCAGGGCTCAGAGACACTGAGTAGAATAGGAGCCTCGTGCTATCCGGGGTACTTCTGGCTTAGGACATGTGGTTCAGCAAGCCTGGACACTGGGTCAATAGAATCGCTGCAGAAACACTGTTACATACAGTAGGGCTTCATTTGTTCATATATTTAAACATCACCCAATTCTTTTGAGAGTCAAAATGGTTCTCAAACAGATAAAAGGTAACAAATAAACTGTAAGTATGAGCTTCTTTCCCAAGGTTATTCTAGATAACTGAAAGTTTTCTATGTTTCCAGAGAATTCTGGAGTTAGAGCCATAAAAATATTCTTGTTTCCATCTAAAGAAGAAAGGCAGTTAGGCATCCAGGTGTCCATGCGCAGGCACTATGCTGAGAGCTTCTATTCTTCTTATCCCACCTGATCCTTGCAGCAGCCCACTCCCTGGTTAAGCACGCCCCCAGCAATGCAGGCGAGGAAACTCCTGCTCACAGTCCGCTATGCACACTACAGCTGCTGTGCCAAAGCCTTCCCACAGAACCTGGTACATAATGCTCTGCACCCTGCTCCAGCCTTGTGCATCATCTCCCACCAACTTGTTTTTTTCCTTCTAGTGTCTCTCTAGTGGTGTGAGAAATGTTAATGGAGTATTTTATGGCAAGTATCGAAAAGATATACTAAAGCTGAAATGCAGTGTGCATGTGCAGCGCTTGCCTTCCTCAGGTGGGCCCTCTCCTGCGCTGTTGCTTAATAAGGGACTGAAACCTGTGACCTCCCTATTTCCCCTCACCCCGACTTTGCCTTTTTTTGAGGCAGGGAGGTACCAGGATTAACCCTAGGGTCTCGCTGATGCTGGGCAAATGCTCTAGAGTCTTCTTTTTTGGCGGCAGGAGGAGTGCAGTGGTTGCTCATAGGCCTTTCCATGCGCTACGCGACACTCTGCTATAGAGCTACACACCCAGCCCTGTCTGTTTGTATTTGATTTGAGTACTTTTTGGTACTGCAGATACTCACTGCATGACTTCTTATTGTTCCCACACCACCTGCTTTTTGCATTAATATTATTTACCAGGTCTCTGAAGGCACCTGGGTTTGTGACCTCTGGGATTGAATGATAGTTGTAACCATGAGCACCTCATATCCAAGGGATGGGTCCCTGGCTTCTCCAAAGACTACTGTGAGGAGTTGCTCAGCAGACAGTGCATGGCCTGGGACTCTATTTGCAAGGACTAGGGAGAGATGGGGCTGTACCTCCAGGAACTGTGCACTAAACAGCTTGCACAATGACTGGTGTCACGCACAGGAAATGCTGCCCTGAACACAAGGCCTAAGGATACTCTGTATTATCCTTCTCCTGTGACAGTGAAGAGAAGTCAGGATGATTGAAGAAGAGGGCTATATATACATTTCAAAGGGTGATCAGTCTTACAGTGTACCATGGTGAAGCCCAAATGTCCAATGGAATGTCACCTCTGGACACTGCAGGTCTGGCCATTGCTGTCCCTAAAGCACTGAAATGATCATAGTCACTAAAGTAATTAAGAAGGCTGAGTAGGGTATTTTCAACAGTGGGGAGAAAAGCAGACTTATTCTTCTTAGAATCTTAGTATATTAACAGTGAAAATTACTGGTTGCTTTTATTTTTTTCCCCCAGGCAAGGAAGGCACTGTGAATGCTTTCATTCTTTTATTCTCAAGAGAACACCAGCAATCCTTAAACCATGTGAAAGAGAGAAAGCATAGCAGTGATTCAGATCTGACATCTAGGACTACACCCAACATGGGCTGAACTAGTCAAAACCTGAAGTTTAAGTGAACTAGAAACTAGGATTGGCCGAGCTCCAGGTAAGGCTCAGCTCCCTAAAGAAACATGCTGTGTTCACATTCGTGCCTCCGAGATGTCAGGTGCATCAAACAGAAACTAGCTACGCCGCAAGCCTGACACGTGGGTGACTTAGCCATCGGGGTGGCACAGGCCACACTTCCCAGCTCCTCCAGCTTTCTCTAAGTCAACAAACCTTCTGTAACAACCACACAAGTCAACTAAATTAGCGTACCTCTTCAGGCAGACTGACCACCAGGTCATTTTTTGTCTGTCCGACCAGTGCCTGCCAGAAGTATTCGCTGCAGGCTGCCAGCACAGCCCGGTGCGCACGGAACTCCTTCCTCTCCACGATCAGAGTCACGTCACAGAGAATATCCTTCTTGCGCTGGTCATTGAGGCCCAGGAGGATGTTGGTGCAGTGGACTGTGGACTCATACACATACATGGGGGAGTCAGGCTTCTCATCCACAGACATGCCGTTCACACCCTAAAAGAAAGAAAGGCTGAGTCACCGCCAGTCTCAGTCACAGAGAGAAGGCGAGAAAAAAACATCCTGCTCCTGCCATGAGCCAGGCAGAAAGGTGCAGAATTGCCAATCAGCACATTCATGGCCCGTCAACATAAAGAGGTCAGAAACCATATCTGGAAAGTCAAGCTGGATGAGTGTCTTGTTACCCTTTCTACTTACTGCATTCTTTCACTGCTGGGTGCAATGCCAGACCTTTCAATGAAACACTTAAAACATTCAATATAAACACACGGCACACGCACGCGCGTATACACACACACACACACACACACACACACATTTTAGAATGTGTAGTTTTGATTTTATTAGGAGGCTGAAACAGAACTTTCACATATAAACAGTTCCAATTTAAGTACTAATTGAAATCTGTGCTAGGAGGAAATGAATCATTTTGAAGCATTTGAAAAGGTGTTGGGGGCTGGAGAGATGGCTCAGTGGTCTAAAGCACCTACTTGGAACAAGTTTGGCAAAGCACAGGGACCGTGGTTCGATCCCCCAGCACCACATGCCAGCCAGCCCCGCCCCCTGGTGGGCTAAGCTGGCCACACACACACACACACACACACAATAAATAAATGTTAAAAAAAAAAATTAAAAAAAAATTGAAAAGATGTTTTGGTGAAATAATGTAAGTTCTCAAGTTGAAGTCTGATGAAGATGGCAGGTAGAGTAAGTGTCTAATCACAGGACAGGATTTTACAGGAGAACTACACCGTAGGTCACTATAGCGTACACATAGCTGTTATGTCTACCCTCTGCCCCCCCCCCGACAATGCACATACAACACAGTGCAATGGCTGCTTGGCTAATAGATGTGGAATTATTGCATCATTACTATCCCAGCACCATTCCTGATGTGAATCCTCATTCAGGAAACAATTTATCACAATAAGGGCCGGGGAGATGGCTCAGCGGCATAATCTCCTGCCTGGCAAGCATAAGGTCCTGAGTTCAATCCCTGATACTGGAGGAAAAGAAATTTATCACAATAGAAGGCATAAAAAGATGTATTTATAATGAGGGTTACATTGATAAAAGTCTTCACTTTAAAAAGTATCATTTAAAGATTGTATTTTTCTTGCCTTAAACTTGCTTAAATTAAAAATCAACTTAAAGAAGTTCCCAATCTATTGGCATAGAATTGTACATATTTTCTATTTTCTTTTTAATATTTGTAAAAGCTGTACTGATGCCTCCTCTTACATTGCTGATAATTGCAAATTTGTACCTTCTGTTTTTTTTTTTGTTTTTTTTTTTCTCTCTCTCATGAGTCTGGCTGGACGTTTAATTATTATATTTATATTCACTAAGAACTGAGTTTTGATTTTCTTTGTTTTCTGTTCAAGTCTTTGTTTGACTTTTACTTCAATGATTTCTATTTGCATTGGCTTTATTTTACTAACATTATGTTTAATTTGCTCTATTCCCATTTTTCTAAGGTATAAGGTGTAAGTTAACTCACTGATTCAACGTCTTCTATTTTTTCTAACATTAGCTTTCCTGCTATAAATTTCAGGCTCAGTAATGCCTTCCCAGTATCTCATACATTTAGAAATGCGGAATTTTTAGTTTTAGTCAGCTCAGAATGCTTGTAAATTTTGCTGCTCATTTTTTCCTTGATGTGTAAGTTTTCTATAAATGTGATATTTAGCTTGTAAATACTAGGGACAATTTCTAGATATCTTTTTGTTATTGTCTTTAACTTAATTTCATTGTGGTCAGAGAGTGAATTTTTCATTACTTTATACAGATTTGTTTTATACCCCTGAATAGATCTAACTTGGAAAATACTTCATATATACTATGGAAAATCTTTTTTTTTTTTTTTTGGTGGAACCGGGGATTGAACTCAGGTCCCCAAACTTGCCAGGCAAGCGCTTATTCTATTGAGCTATTTCCCCGGCCCCTTCATATATACTATGAAAGAATGCATATTCTAAAGTTGGTCTAAGTGATTTGTAGATGTCACTTAGGGTAAGTCATGTGATGAGTGATTTATTTATATCTTTTCCATTTTTTTTTTTTTTTTTGGTCTTTTTGAGACAGGGTCTTGATATTCAGTTCAGGCTGACCTTGAGCTCATTTTGTAGCCCAGACTGATCTGAAACTCACAATGACTGTCCTGCCTCAGCCTCCTGAGTGCTGGGATTACAGGTGTGTACCACAATGCCTGGCTCTTTTCTCATATTTTGTCTGAGAAGCAACACTAAAATCTCTCTCATTGTAGGTTTAAATCTTGTTATTAGATACATACATATTTAAAATTTAATTTTCTCTTAGAAATATTCCATTTTCTATCACTATAGTCTTTCAATTCTTGAAACTATTTATTGCTATGAAATCTACTTCCTCTGACACTAATATAGCCATTATAGGCTTTGTTTAATATTAGCTTTCACAGTATAACTTCTTCCATTCTTATCCATTTATTTATTTATTTAGTACAGGATCTCGCTATGCAGCTCATACTCATAGTGAATATCCTGTCTCAGCCTCCCCAGTGCTGGGATTATAGGTGTGTACCACCATGCCAAGTTTTGGTGGGTGGCATGCTTCTTGGGCGGCATGGCATGCAGTACTGGGGATGAACCAGGGTCCTTGTGCTTGCTAGGCAGGCACTTAGACTGCCAGGCAAACTTCCCAGCTCCTAATTATTTCTTTAATGTATAAAGTGTGTTTCTTGTAGGCAGTGTATAATTGGTTCTTGTATTTTTAAAAAAGAATCTGAGATCTCACTTTAAATTGTTGCTTAGACAATTTAAATTTGATGATTGTTGACATGTTTGAATTTAAATGTGCCATTTTGTACTTGTTTTCCATTTATTCCATCTGTTTTTATTTTTGTTCCTTTCATTCTCTGGGTCCTGTTGTAGTCATTGAATATTTTTAATGATTCAACTCTTATCTTTTATAGGTATGTTGCTTTGGGATTTTACTGGTTGCTTCAGGATTTCCTACAAGGTACCTTCAAGTGATATTCTGCCACTTCATGTCAAATATATGAGCCTAAATATGTTTAAAAGGAAGAAATGTTTTTATTTCTCTTTCCCTGGCCATTCTATTACTCTTTCTTTTTTCCTTGTACAAATGTTAAAAATTCCACACTAAGTGGGATATGTTGGTGAAATCCTGTAAGTCCCAGCACTCTGGGAGTCTGAGGCTGGGGATCACAAATCTGAGCCTACCTGGGAAAATAAGTGAGAACCTTGTGAAAAAAAAAGTGATGGAGAAATATCTTAGGGCCTGGCTTCATTCCCAAGTAAAACAAAACAACTTCACAATACACTTAAAAATTTTTGTTTAAAAAAATAAATAAAAATTTTTGTTAAACAATCATCTTTTGAAAAGATTTAAATAAAAAGTACACACACACACACACACACACACACACACATTCTTTCTGCTGAGAGACCTTCTTTGACATTGCTTACAGGGCAGGAATACTAATGATTAATTCTATCAGCTTTTGCTTCTTTGAAAAAAATCTTACTGCCTTCATTTTTGGAAATTATCTTCATGGGGTATAGATTTTAGATTCACAGTTTTTTCCTCCTTTCCTTTCAGCACTTTGAAAGATGTCATTTCATGTTCTTTTTGCTTGCATTGTTTTCATTGAAAAATCTGTCATCCTTACCTTTGTTCTTCTGTGTGTAACGTCTTTTTCCTTCTGTTGCACTTAAGATGTTCTCTTTATCACTTTTTTTGGAGCAATTTGATTAGGATGTGCCTTGGTATAGTTTCCTTCATGTTTCTTGAGCGTCTTGGATCTGTGGGTGTACAGTTTTCATCAAATTTGGAAAAAGTCATCATTTGAAAAAAAGTTTTTGTCACATATTTTTTCTGTCTCCTCCCATATTCTCCTTAGGGTGGTTTAGATAGATATATATTAGACCACTTGAAGTTGTACCACGGCTCATAAGGTTCATTTTCAATTTTTGGTATTCTTTTTTTCTCTCTTATGCTTAACTTTTTTTTTTTTTTTTTTTGCGGAACCAGGGATTGAACTCAGGCCCTTGCGCTTGCCAGGGAAGCGCTTATTCCACTGAGCCATCTCCCTGGCCCCCTTATGCTTAACTTTGGATAGTTTCTATTGCTAGGCACTCAGGTTCATTACCACCCCCCCCACCCCCGGAATGTCTGTCATTAAAGACTTTCCATGCAATGCTTCTATCAGACTCTGCTGTCCTCACCTTAGGGGTCCAATTTAGTTGTTCTTGGATTTCCTGCTCACCTTTGCCTCAGAGATACAATCATTCCTGTAACCTCCTCACATTTGGAATAAAACGATAATAACAATATTGGTGTCTCTCTCTTAACTCTAACATCTGTATCACTTTGGGCTCAGTCTGTTATTTCTATTGATCACCAGTCATGTTTTCTCGCTTCTTTGCAGCACTGGAAAGTTTTGAATGGAAGCCAGACATTCCACATCTTATAATTTTTAGATTCAGCTTTTTTGGTGCTGGTATTTGGTCGAGGGCTGTATGTCTTTTGCTATGGATCCAAGATACTTCACCAAGTACTCTACCCAGTGTCTGATGAAACACGGGTTTTCTAGCCTGGTTGGTTAAGAACAGGTATCCCAGTGTTTTGTGAGCTTTCAATTCTATTTTGGGTGATTCTCTTTCCATTCTTGGCAACTTTCCTCATACATATGTGCCAATAAGGACTGCAGATTTTTTTTTGGGGGGGTCTCCCTGTGTAGTGCAAGCTGGCCTTGAACTCACTATGTACCCCAGGCTGGTCTTGAACTTCTGGTGATCCTCTTGCCTTAGCCTCCCAAGAGCTGGGATTACAGGTGTGCACCACCATGCCCAGCTCCCCTGTAGAATGTTGAACCAGAATTCTCTGCACCAGATCTCTGGAGCTCTTTGTGCACCTCTTCTCCTTGCTACTTTTCAAACTCTAGCCATTGTCATCTCTAGACTTAGCTCTGTCTCCTCAACTGGGGAGTCAGGAAGTAATTCTTGACTCCTGTGCTACAGTCTGAGAACTGTATTTTTCTTTTGTTTTTGTCTTTTGGGGATCACTGTCCTTTGTTATCTCTCTTCTAATGTCTTGAAGAGCACTGTTTCACATATCTTATTTATAGTTATTTCAGGGTATGTAAATACAGTATCTGCTACTCTGTTATCTTGGGCTGGAGGCAAACTCCTGAATTTATTCTTTACACTCTAATTATTCTAAGTACTTTACAAATACTAACATCACATTGCTAGTCATATGGTATAACCTTTGCTCCGCTACTGATTGCACTTTTAAATACCTAATTACAAAAAATAATTCAGTAAAGAAAAATTATTAACTCTTTGGTATTTCAATAAAATAAAGGGATTTGTAAGGTTTATGAGCCAGAATCACTTAAAAATGTAATTAGAATAGTATTATAAACAATACAATTCAGTTATAATGACCTTAAGCCTTTTAGTAAGGTCAAGGTCATTTGGCTTCCGTTTCTGAGTAGGAAACTGCTGGTAAATCCGTTATTATCTAGTAAGGAGAAAAATATTTTCTATTCTGTCTTGTTAGTTTTTCATTTCTTAGAATGTTTTCTATATTTTCTTATCTCCTACACAGGGTCTGAATCCTGAGTTGCTTTCTCTATTCTTAATTCTGAAACTGTTACTCTTATCACACTGTTTTCTTGATTGATCTATAAAACTTGTTGTTTTAAAAAAACATGATAGATTGAAGGTAGCAGAACAATTAATATTCTAGGACATAGGTGATATGCTTAATTCACTAGAAGTAGCTTTATGAAGGACATCTCATTTTTTCCACTCTACTTATGAATAATATGTGTTAATGTACCAACGCCGGGACAGAAGTTTGCTGTGAAGGATACAAAGTCGTACATTTTTGAGTGAAACATGAAATGAAGAAAATAAGAGAAATGAAAGTGAAGTATGATGGATTCAGCTATAGCACTGACCAGACTTGTGGATTTGGACAAACTGTCTACCTTTGTCTGACTTTATGTTTGTAAAATGAAAAGTATGGACTAGAAGACAAGAGATGTTCTTATAGATCAACAATTTTATAAGTGTAAGAGTCATAAAAGAAATAGACCTAAGTGATTACAGGGAGTTAGACCCTGTCATTTTATTGGAGAGAAATGAGCTTTCTTTGGCTTTTTTTTTTTTTTTTCCTGGTGGAACCGGGGATTGAACTCAGGCCCTTGTGCTTGCCAGGGAAGTGCTTATTCTACTGAGCCATCTCCTCAGCCCTTTTCTTTGGCTTTTTAAAGATCATTTGTTGACCTAATTTTATTGTTGTGGATGCTTAATGACTTAACAAAACTGTCACTGCAGAGATAGTTTCAGGAAATGTGGTGGATAACATGCAAAGAAACCAAAGCATTTTAAGAAAAAAACAGATTCTAACCTCTGCTCGCTATATATTCCAAGTGAAAAGATATGTTTGGGTGAATCATGGCAGTCCCATGGAGGGGCATAAGTTGCCTCAAGCAAAGGAACTTTTAAGAAATGGGAATTTAAGACTTAGCTATGACAAACTGTGCTGCTATAAACATGGGTGCACATATATCACTGTGGTATGATGATTTCAGTTTTTTTTGTTTTTTTGTTTTTTAAATACCTAGGAGGGAAGTAGCTGGCTCAAATGGGACCTGCAATCCTATGGGACATCCACTATGGTACCAGTCTGCACTCCCACCAACAGTGGAAAAGGGTTTCTTTTTCCCCACAGCCTCTCCAGCATTTGTTATTGGCTGACCTCTTGATGATAGCCATTCTTTCTGAGGTAATATGGTATCTCAATGTTGTTTTAATTTGCATCTCTTGAATGATCAATGATGTTGAACATTTTTTCATATATTTATTTGCCATTTGTCATGGGTAAAAAAGATATGGTATTTTTACACAATGGAGTATTATTTAGCTATTAAAAAAGATAAATTCAAGGCTTTTGTAGATATATGGATGCAGCTAGACTATATTGATAAGCGAAATGAATCAGACTGCATATGCAAACATCGTATTAGCTCACTAGTGTGAGAATCTGATAGAGTAATGAAAATCTGAAAGGTACAACAGACACTGTGAAAGGGAAAGAAATTGTTTAATGGGAAGGAAAAACTGGGATGAGGGAAAGGACAAATGAAAGGAGGGCAAAACAATATATTTAGTTATATATGCACAATAATTTAGATAATTGTATTGTCAAATTCTGCTGGTCTTTTGTTTTTTAAAAATTTTTATTCATTTTAATGAGAAAAAATAGAAATGAAACAGTTTCAAAATAGGACAGTTACAATAATTAATATATTGCATATTGTCTCTGTAGTAGTTATTCGGAGGACAAGATACAGACATGCTATCTTGTCTAATCAATATTAGTACAAACCTTTCTTCTCATTGAGCTAACAGAAGGCAGCTGTGTATCTAGCCTAACTGTTTTGTATATACATATATTTTTTTCACTACAAAATGGTCCTTTATTATATCCCCCTTTTTTGTTTTGTTTTGCCAGAGATGGGTGTTCCATTGTTGTTAGAGAAGCTGTATTTGGAAAAGCCTTTTTTTTTTTTTTCTTCTTTTTTTGTATTTTAGGACAGGGTCTATAGGGTCTACAGGGTCTCACTACATAGATTGTGGACTTGTGATCCTCCTATTTACAGCCTCCCATGTGCTGGGATTACAGGTGTGTGCCACCACGCCCAGTGTCTCAGTGCAGACCTGGGGATCGAACTCCCAGCTCCTGAGTCTGCCTAAGCAGGCACTTTAATCTGCTGAGCTATTTGGCCACACCTTGTATTTGGAGAAGTCTTTAAAGGACCTTTTCATACTTGATGCCAGTTCAAATATTGTAGGTACTTGAATTCAGAAAAATAACTCAATATAGTCTCTGCTGGTCTTTTGAAACAAGCAGTTAATGCTTATTATTATTATTTTTTTTACTCTGACTTTTCTTTCTTTCTTTTTTTTTTTTTTTGCCTCTTTTAAGTTTCCTATAACTTCTTTGTTATTGTTTTGTTTTTTCTTTTTTAAACAAATTTTACATGATTATATCTGGTAATCCGAACAACTAATTTGAAGATAGCATCATGTAATACAGCAATCATTGTTAAATTCCTATCACTTTGTTTAGTGAAATTTTGTATCGTTTCTTTTTTTTTTTCTATCACTATTTTGTATTCTTAAAAAAAATAGGAATCTAAGCCTATGAGGACATCTTAACACAATATGTACAACTATGCTGTTAGCACTCTTAGTCCTTAATTTAGGAATGTATTTTGGGAGCAAGGAAATATAAACTAAAACAATATATCATCCTGGAACTTGTTCCACTGACGTGTAAGTAGTGCCTCATACACCTTGAAACAGAAGTAGATGCAAGGCTCTTTTGCCAGGCAGGGCCGGTCATCAATGGTGGTGAAGCAAGGAAGTGTCAGACTATCAGATTCTAGGTCACAGGCAAGACTGGGCCTTTTTTTGCATCTCAGCCAGCCTCTGTATCCTGCTAATAAGGCAGGCTTGGGAAAATCAGGGAGCTGTGGCTGTGTATACAATCCGAGTGGATGAAGCAGGGTATGACAGTGATAGAAACATGGATAGCTGCTCTTTTGGCTAAACCTTAAAGAGAGTTATAGAAAATATTTCGGCAGTACTAATCTTACTCATCAAAGCATATTATCTGAAATCTATCATTACTTATAAGTCCGTGGTAGGTTTAGCCTAAGGATTTTCTTGATTTTATTAATTATTCCTTCATTTTGCCATGCCAGTTTCACCCTCTTCTTTTTGGC